ATCATATTTGTCTAAGTCTGCAAAGCAAAACCATGATGTAATTGCAGTCTATGTTAGCACCAGCGCCAGCTGAACACAGTTAGCACAGTAACAGCAGCAGGAAGACACAGGAGCATGACCTTTAACGCAGAGCTAGCAATCAGCATACAGACCCGGGTCTGTACTTCAACAGCTACATGTGCTAAAGATCATCCTACTGCAGTTTCACTCAGTCCTTCACTGGCACGATTAAGTTAACCTAACAAAACCTGCGCTTACCATTTGGCTCGACACAGCACACTGACTTACAAAAATAAAATTGTATTCATGGTAATGCTGGGTTGCTTTTTCACCACAAACTGTTTTTGGATACGCACTAAATTCCTTGCAATGTTCCTTTATAGTTACTTCATCCTGTACAAAGTTAATTGCAGAGTCAGGACTTGTAACCCTTAATCCCCGTCAGGTTTGAGACCGTGCAGACTGGCTTTGGCAACGATGGCACTCTTTGTCATGTTGTTACCCTCCCACACAGTACGGGTTTCCCACAGATCTCAGGCCAGCCGTCTGAACTAATCTCATGATAGCTCTCCTTAACTATTACTCTGAGATAAAATCAAACTCAGGATATAACAGTGAACAGCTCTGTATGTTTCCAATCATATTGAAAGAGGTCACCATGATTTAAATACGCACTGGAAGCACAGTCCAACTGACTGTATTTTTTAATAAATCCAGCTTCTTCAATATATGTAGACACTCTTCTCTGAGTTAAAGTATGTGTGCAGCCACTTAAGCATTTCAGTTTAACCTAAATATTCTTTGTTTTCTTGGCACAGATATAATTAAACATAAAACAATTCTTTAGATTTTCTTCCTAAAAGTTTCCCAACTATACCCATCAACCCAAGGACACTGCCTACTTACAGAACCCAGTTCCACAGCTTGCATCCTTGACTACTACTTCCGCACAAGGTTTTCCTAGCAGAGAGGTGTGCCCAGTTCAGCTTAACACTAATATAGTTCAGGATCTTGCAGGTTTTATTTTAAAGGTGAAACATAATTTCTTAGCCTTGCTGGAAATGGTAACTTCACTGTTGCACGTATTACTCCAGCAGGTGCACCTGACACTGTACAAACAAGCTGAGTCACTGCTCATGAGCAACAAAGAAAAATCAGCAGTCTCTCAACCTGTCAGAAATACCTAACAAATTTCAATTAGAACTGCCAACAAAAACTAAAAGCCTCAAGAGAAAGGCGAGAAATATATGCACGGTTAAAAAAAACCAAACAAAAATAAAAAAAGAATCCATGGCAGATTAAGCCTAAAACCAGATTAATGGGTTATTTTTCGGCAGTATCTATTACACCCAAATGTGACAGATCTTCCAGATGTGCTGAGAAAAGATGACACAGTATTATAGTTTCCAAGCACTGCACGTGTGATTAAAGAAAATTCTTTGGGAAAACATGCATAGTTATTACATTTTAAATGTTCAAAAATAGCGATATTTGGCCTTCTTTCAATAATAGCCTGAAAACACACCTCAGTGTAAAACTGCAAATACAATTAAAATGCTGGATAGAATAAAACAGGCTTGATTGTTGAAAAACAGTCTCATTCATACAGCACAGTGCAGGTGATAGGATTAGTGGTTTTGGATTTATTTTTGGGTTCTTCATGCACAGATTACTGGAAGATTTTTGTGGTGGTTTTTTTTGGTTTTTGTTTTGTTTTGTGGTTTTTTTGTGTGTGGGGTTTTTTGTTTTTTTTTTTTTTTGGAGAAACAGTCCAGCACTCAGCAAGCCTTGACCTTTACATATTTTTAACACCACAGTGCTTTATAAAACTGAACTCTGTTCCAAAAGTTAGAGCTAACAGCTGCAATGAAACAGGTAAAAGGAACTAAACATTCAGGGCCAGAGAGTCAGCTGAAGGGAATCAGCTCTGTTCAACTGAAATGAATGCATTTTTGCCTTTTTAAACTAGCTGGGGATCTGGCACTCAAGCTTCAGGTCAGAAAAGCTCAGGCAGGCTGTCTTCAACTTCCTAAAAATGAGCATGCATCAGATAAACACAGAAATGAAGTGCAGGGTCAGTGCAGTTTGATCAGCTTGTACCAGCTGACTTCCTGCTTTATCCTTTTAAGTAAACCATTCATTTGCAGAATTCTATGCTGCAAATTTAAAAAAAAAAAAAAAAAAAAAAAAGAAAGAAAGAAAAAAAAAAAAAGAAATTAGTTGCTTGAAACACTCCCAGTGCCTCATCAGAAAAAAAAAAACCAACCAACCCACGCCGTTCAGTTCTTCCATAAGGATGCTGCAACTGAAGAAAAGAAATGAACAGAAGCGATGATGAATAGCAAGCCCCAATTTTCATAGAGAAAAGCTTTATACTTTCCCTTCTCCTTTGTGGAGAGAAACCCCGTGTGGAAACGCCTGGCTTCTGCGGGGCTGACAGTTGTGCAGGGCTGCAGCGCCAATTGGCAGAGCAGCCCTGCAGCAGAGCAGCAAGGTGCCCGAGGTCAGACTCTGCATCTCTTCTTCTCTGGACTGAACTCCTTCGCACCCGCTCCTGCTGACAGGACACAATGAAATTCCCGTGTTTATTCTGTTTCACGTATCCTGTTAATTCAGTTGAGAGGTCTCTGCAGAATAAGAGATCAGAGCACACTAGGATAAATCAGAAGTCTGTATTTATAATCTCTGCCTTCTGGTAAGTTAGCAGCATGTACCAGTTTTTCCTTGAAATAAGTCTGAAGGGGAGGAACAGATGTCAACCTGAAAGCGTAAGAGTATTATTACCGTCCTGTGTCTTACCATTAGGCATAAAATACGCTTTGCATTTATGTATGCCTCTACTTTCCCTCTTAAAAGGCCATTGTGCAAGCCAACTGTAATTCAGAGCGCACAATCTAATTTCTATTTCCTTTCCTTTCTACACCAATATAACCAAAACACAGGTATAGTATTCCTCTCCATTCCCACCTCACTGAAGGCATTTTATTTGCATTATTATGTCCACACCTTTCCTGAAGTACCTTGCTGAAAGGATATCCGAAGTCACTGTGCAGAAATCTTTACTCCAAGGCAACTGAAAGGACTCAGGCTCTCTGCTGACCTGATTGGTAGTTTTGCCTCCGGAAGGCTTAACAGACCCTGTCATTATGTATGTGATATATCCTACCATAATTAATTCCCTCAGGGAATGACATCCAGAGGAAGCACAGTTCAAATACACAGCGTGCACTTGAAATTTGACATTTTGAATCAGATTCCCAACACCAAGATGCATCCATGGAAGGTCTGACATTTTTATTTTCCTTGACTGTAGATACATGGCATAAACTAAATCCTGTCACAAAGAGACTGGCTTAAAAACTGTTGAAACATACAGATAAAAAACAGTGTTCTTTGTTCTTGAACAGATTTGATTTAATTCATTAGAAATCCAGAAGGTGTTTAAAATTACCATGTGCCATTTAATATAAGATGAAGTAATAGCTTCCTTCAGCCTTAGTGGAAAGATTCAGAGCTGTAATTCTTTTTCAAATAATTACCCTGTTCATCAGACTTCAGCGCAAGATGACTCCAGGCAGAAGGAAATGGAGAGACAGGCTATGAAAGCCTCAGTATGTACACGTGCCAAGCTGAATGGTGATGAGAGCACTTTGCAGGCGTTTGTCAAGTCACAGGCCCAAACTACGCTAAAATTAGAACTGCAAGGGAAGGGCAAGAGCATGTGAAAGTATGAAGTCCATCTACCATATAAAAGGGTCTTTGGAGAAAAAAAGTAGGGAGGATGGGTAGGGATGCTGAC